CTTTGAAAACTCCAGGGCGAATTATATTTTCAAGGCTAGAAGGCAGAACAAATTTGCATAGCCAACAAGCTACAAAGGCAGCTAAATAAGTTTCCCTTTTTGTCCCCTGTTCTATTCCAAGGCCGGTGAATACCTCATCTGCTTGCAAAGTCCAATTATGAATGGTGGTGATCACTCCAGAAAGATACTTATGAGTCTGTTTGGGGCATTAGGTTTTGTTCTTTGACGGTTTTCTTTTAGATTTTTCATACTTTATTGGGCCTCTAAACCAAAACTTTACCCAATCAAAAATTTTCACAGTCTGCTCCTTTGTGTGCAGTTTACAAAGATGGTGGAAGGCAGAAAATAAGTACTGACAGCAAGGAGGAAGGAAAAGTTTACCGTCTTTGTCTGAATCTAATAACTCTTTCATGAAAAGGATAACTTCTTCATATTGTTTACCAAAAAAAGGAAGGCATCCTATCACATACAAGTCACGAAGAGAAATTGACAGTTCGCCTATTGAACAATGGAGGGTGTTGGTAGAGGAGCACCAAGATTCAAGGAAAGCTCTAAGAACAGGCCTAAGGCAATCATATGTGAATAAAGAAGCAAATATTGCACCATATAGCTTTTTGTCTTTAAGGAATTTATCATGGCAACCCATGACGTCCTCTGACCATTCCCAATATCCATCGGTATAGGATAAATTAGGGATCTTGAAGGAAATGCCCCATTTAGCTTCTTTAGCACGTATCCTATGACCCAAAAGTGAAAAATGTTCTGGCGCCTTTATTGGTTCATAAAGTGCAGAGCGTAAAATCAAAACATCTAAAATCGAGCTTATCTCCTTCTTCTAATTACAACCAAGGTTGGAGAGTTCACAGGAAGATATGTGGGACTACTCTAGCAAATAATGGTATGGAGGATCAGAGTGAAGCAGTTTCAGTGCAAAGCGGCCAACAAGAGAAGTTCTAATATCTAGAGTAGTTTTTTTCTCTATGGTGTCGTTCTCTCGCTCCAAAATAGTGATAGTATGGGGTTTGAAACTTTTGAAAAACACAATGGTTAACTAGCACCCCTTAAAAAAAAAAACAAAAAAACAAAAAACAAAAAAAAAAAAGATTTTTGTTCTAACGGAACAATGGGTCCTGAATGAACTAGTAAAGATGTGTTCTAACGGAACAATAGGTCCTGAACAGACTAGTAAAGATGTGTTCCAACGGAACAATGAGTCTTAATAGGACAAATAAAGATGTGTTCTAACAGAATAATGAGTCCTTACGAACTAAATACGTTCCAAAGGAACAATGGATCCTTATGGACTAGATGTGTTCCAATAGAACAATGGGTCCTGACGGACTAGATGCATTCCAAAGGAACAATGGGTCCTTACAGACTAGATGCATTCCAAAGGAATAATGGGTCTTTACGGACTAGATACGTTCCAAAGGAACAATGGGTCCTGACGGACTAGTAAAGATGTGTTCCAACGGAACAATGGGTCCTAACGGACTAGATGCGTTCCAACAGAACAATAGGTCCTAACGAACTAGATGTGTTCCAAAGGAACAATGGGTCCTTACGGTCTAGATGTGTTCCAATAGAACAATGGGCCCTGACAGACAAGATGCATTCCAAAAGAATAATGGGTCCTTACGGATTAGATGCGTTCCAAAGGAACAATGGGTCCTTATAAACTAAATGCATTCCAAATGAACAATAGGTCCTTAAGGACTAAATGCGTTCCAACAGAACAATGGGTCCTGACGTACAAGTAAAGATGTGTTTCAACGGAACAATGGGTCCTAACGAACTAGATGCTTTCCAATGAAATAATGGGTCCTGACGGACTAGTAAAGATGTGTTTCAACGAAACAATGGATCCTGACAGACTAGATGCATTCCAAAGGAACAATGGATCCTTACAGACTAAATGTGTTCCAACTGAACAATGGGTCCTAACGAACTAGATGCGTTTCAAAGGAACAATGGGTCCCAAAGGGACTAGTAAAAATGCATTCCAGTGGATCCGAGGAAAAAAAAAAAAAAAGCAAAAAATAAAAGGGAAAAAAAATGAGGGAAAAAAAAGAGAGAAAAAAAAAAAAAAAAGAAAAAGAAAAAAGAGAGAGAAAAAAAAAATCGTAAAAGAAAAAAGTGTGAAAAAGAAGAAGAAGAAGAAGAAGAAAATAAAATATAGGAACGGTGGAGTTATTCGTTTGTTGGTGGATGTCTGTTCATTATATATGGCATATAAAGTGAATGGAGACCATATAAGACCATATATTATGAGAGCAATAAAGTGAATGGAGACAATATAAGGGAAATAACAGTTATCAATTTCAAGAAGGAAAGTTGCTAAACTTTTGTTTTCTCCTTTTGCATGCATAGTGATATGCATTATACATGGTGTATATGTATATATGAATCTGGAAGTGGCCATGTGATTGAAGTGAATAAATAAAAATAAAAATAAAAAGTTGTTTTCTTGTTTTGCGTGCATAGTGATTATGCATTATACATGGTGTGTATATATATATGAATTTGGAAGTGGCCATGTGATTGAAGTGAATAAAAAACAAAAAGAAGGCAAAAGGCTATAAGAAAAACAAAAGTTGGTGGAAATTTCTTCGTTTTGCAAGATACATGTTAATTGAATGAAAAATAGTGCCGGGACGAAACAAGAATTGGAGAAGAATGCATGGCAGTAAAGAAACAAAAGGAAGGAGCTTACTGACAAGTATTGCTGAAAACCAGTTCGCCCTGTAGATTAAAGTCCGGAGGAATTGATGTTAAACCCTATAACATTGGTAGCATATATAGGCAATAAAATACCTCCTATTTGTACTGAGATTTGTATAATTCAATTCAAATTGGAAAGAAAAATCTTACAATCCAAAGTTGGATAGAAAAGTGAAAAAGGAAACTTTACAAATTCAAAGACCAAGTTGGATACTTCAAGTCCTACTTGAAAAATGAGACAAGTCATGTCAAACCTAGGACTCGAAGTGGGGCAATTTGTAGACACTAAAATTTAGCGGGCTTTCGTTTTGACAAATTGACCTATCAAATATGGGTTTAATGTTTAAGTAAGTTATTAACTGGCACAATCTTAGTCCACTTAAATTATTTAATTAGCCTAGCCCAAATGATTAAATGAAAAGATAATTATTCCTAATAAGATATATTTGGAATAATTATTTTTAAGGATAATTATCATAATATAACCGGTCCGGCCCAGTTATGATTTTATCCTTTTCAGGAGAGGATATGTGTCATCATCATATTAATCGAAGAAGGAAGCCTGGATGTCTGGATGAAGGAGGAAGGGACAAAAATTCAGAATTCAAAAATCCAGAATTCCAAAGAGAAATACAAAAACTCTGCCCAAAAGTGAAGAACACCAAGCACATCAAATCGTGCCGTTATTCATCAAATTTCACGGTGATCAACAACAAGCACATCAAATCATGTCGTTCTTCATCCAAATTTCATAGTGATTCAAGATCAAGCTCGTGCAGCCCTTGGATTCAACCAACAAAATGAAGATCGAATAAGATGACCTTATTCTTTGTAAAAAATACTACAGAGGATTGTACTCTAAATTTTTCTAATTTAATAAAATATTATTTTTGCTTCATATTTTGTTCTTATTTGCAGACTACAAAATTTGTGTGTACACCCCCTGACATCATCAGCAAGTACGACACTAGGCCTGATCACGGTTCGGATCGATTTGGTTTGGGGATAAAGATCAAGCCGAACCGGTCCCCATGGATTGGCAAAAATTGAAACCGAACCGATCCGTGGGGGCCTTCAATCTGAACCAAATCGATCCATGAAGTAACGGATCGGATCGAATCAGTTTCTGCGGATTGGGCTTTGTCAATCTTGTTTATTTTTTTTATTAAAAAAATATGAAAACAAAATAAATGATATTTACAGAGAGAAAGAAGGGTCCATGGCAGCAAGGAATCCCTAAAAGAAAAAAAAAACACATGGAAACAAAATTTCAGAAAAAACAAAACACCTCCTCAATCCGAGACAGAGTTTCATATGGGTCTTTTTTCCAATGAATAACTTTAACTTTACATCTTGGGAAGGGTTAGGGCAATGGATTCCCTGTCTTGACAAAGGAAAATAAACTAAAAGTCTACTAGCACTAGGCTGAATCGCACTCCAGCGACCTGAGAGATCGGCGGCGTTCACCGAAAAGATACGAGAACCCTCTGTGATGGCGAACACAGTGGAGCCCGAAGCCACACAGTTACAGTTCAGCCACGAGATGGCCGTCGGCGGCTTCGTCTTCCAGAATAAGAAGATCCATCACTGTGTTATGGTGATTAACAAAAAATATTGATTTTATTTACAAAAAATGTTCAGAGAAGAGGAGAATAAGAAGATCCATACAAAAATTTTGTAAACTCTCCGGAAAAGAGGTAGATCCACTCGAAGAGGTCGCCGTTACTTCGAATCTGGTGAACGATGGATTGAGAGGTGATTGATTGAGAGGCGAGAGATTGGGAGGCAAAGAGTGAAGAAAAACAGAGATAAAGAGTGAAGAGATTGGGTGAAGAAAGAAGAGGCGAGGAAGGCGCGGCTGAACTAATGAAATGAGATGCCAGATGAGATTAATGATATTTGGGAGCTAGGATATATATATATATATATATATATATATATATAAAATATTATTCAATAACGGTTCGGTTCGGATTCACTAATAGTTCGGATTGGCAACGGTTCGATTCGGATCAATTAACGGTTCGAATCGGTTTTTCCAGGGTCCAATCTGTTAACCGAACTGCGAATATTAGATTAAAAAATTTTCAAACCATCACCGAGCCATGATATCTAAAAATCGAACCGAACAACACAAATCGAATTGGTTCGAATTAAATTGACGAATTATTTGCTCATCCCTGTACGGCACCACTCACCTCCTTGACACGAGTCACACCACTAACAAGACAACAATACCTCCTCTCTAATGCCCAAGTGCCAAGTCCAGATAGTAAACAAGTCCTACCCACATCATAGTCATTAATCAAAGCATAATTTGTTCACAGAGGAGAAGAGAGGAAAGCGTAAAGGGAGGAAGATTTGACCATGGACGATTCTTCGAAATTTGACCAAATCGAGCAGTTTGAACATATGAACATATGCTACTAATGCAAATTTGGGCAATTCGATATCCGGAAGAGAAGTTTGCAGAACTTCCAACTGTCTTACAACAAATTGACGGGTCTGGCAACATTCGGGTCATGGAGATGTTTTAGAGAGATAATGTACTCCTTTGAGATCCTTGTGCCCAAGATTCAATGGAATCGGAGAAAGCTCTTGCGGCGAAGAAATTTTCTGATGATCGTTTGAACGGGAAGTTAAAGGTGCGAACGGAGCTGGAGACCGAACCAGATAGTATTGGATCGCAGGAAGAGAGCGAGTCTGGTCATCATCAAGTGGCTATATGGATCTCTTGCTTTTCTCAAGGCCTATCTTGCCTTCACCGCCTCCCAATGGCAAGACGATTCCCCATGAAGCTTGATATCTGTGTCCGTAAAAGAAATCAAAACGGTGTAGTTTTGAGCTTGTCCTTTTTGGTAATTTTGTCTTTTAGGTTTATTTTATTATTTTTGTTGTGCAGAGTGGAGGACATTTTGATCTTTTTGCCTATCCATAATCACTTACTTGATAAATGGTGAAATTTGAACAGGACGAATGTTAAACTGTTTTGCACATTTTTTACACTAAGAAGGGGTTTTTTTTTTTTTGGCACTTGACCCCTTGTAAATAGTTCATACATATTTATATATCACTAGAATCACCAGAATTTTCAGAGGAAATAATAATAATAATAATAAAGAAAAAACAGCTAGCAGAAACCGAACAAGAGGAGTTGAGAAAGCTTAGATATATCACCAGAAACTCCGCCAACTTTGAAGCATCTATGCAGGCGATAATATTTGGGTGATGCAAAGAACCAGAGCTCTCTGCAACAAACTCTTGTCAGCCAACAGTTCAACTAACGCTCCAAAACCAAAAGACCACCTGGTTTCTTACTACTTCTCTCTCCTACACTCTTCCCTAAACCCTTCACATCTCCGTCACCTCCACGCTCGCCTTCTTCGTATCTCTCTCTACGACAATGTAATTCTCAGTTCTAAGCTTGTTCTGATGTATTCCCAACACAGCAAACTCACTCCAGACTCTCTGTCTGTCTTCTCTCACATGCCCCAAAAGAACATTTACTCATGGAACATAATCATTGGAGAGTTCTCACGATCTCATTCCCCTGAAAAAGCAATTGATTTGTTCCGCCAAATGCAAAAAAGCTCCCATTGTCATCCCGATGCCTTCACGCTTCCTCTTGTTCTGAGGGCGTGTGCCGATTCAGGGGCGATAAAGTGTGGCGTTTCGGTTCATGGGTCCTGTGTGAAGATGGGTGTGGAAAGGAATTTGTTTGTTGCTTCTGCTCTGGTCTTCGTGTATGTAACTTTTGGGAAGGTTTTTGATGCCCGAATGGTGTTTGATGGAATGCCTCAGAGGGATGCAGTGTTGTGGACTGCAATGTTGGCTGGGTATGCTCAGCATGAGGAACCTATGCTGGGATTATCTGTTTTTCGAGAGATGGTTGTTACCGGGGTTGAGCTTGATGGGGTGGTTATGGTGAGCTTGCTTTTGTTATGTGGGCAGTCAGGGTGGTTGAAGCATGGAAAGAGTGTTCATGGGTGGTGCTTCAGAAGGTGTTTATGGTTAGGGTTGAGTTTGGGAAATGCTCTCGTCGACATGTATGTAAAATGTGCTGCTTTGGGTTATGCACATAAAGTCTTTGATAGAATGCCTGACAAAGATGTCATTTCGTGGAGTACTTTGATCTCAGGATACGGATTGGGTGGCCGTGTCAACGTTGCTTTCGGGCTTTTTGATGAGATGCATAAGCAGGGAGTAAAACCGAATGATGTAACGTTTCTGGGTGTCTTGTCTGCCTGTGTTCATGGTGGAACGGTGGAAAAGGCGCGTTCTTGCTTCAAAATGATGAGGGATTATGGTGTGATCGCGGAGTTGAAACATTATGCTTGTATGGTCGATTGTTTGGGGCGAGCAGGGCTTCTCGAAGAGGCAGAAAGGTTTATTGAAGAAATGCCTGTGGAACCTGATGGGGCTGTACTGGGTGCTCTATTAGGGGGATGCCGGGTTCATGGTAATGTTGAGGTGGGAGAACGGATTGCAAAGAGACTAATTGTGTTGGAACCAGAGAGGGCGGGGTATTATGTACTTTTAGCCAACATGTATGCAGATGCAGGTAGGTTTGATGATGCAGAGAGAGTGAGGGATTTCATGAAACAAAGGAATGTGGCTAAAGTAACTGGATGTAGTTTGATAGAGTCCAAGAACTGTCCATCAGCTTTGGCGTCATCAGAATAAGGTAAATTTGGTTATGAAATTTGATTGAAATGGGGGAGGCATATTCACGGTTGCTCCATCACTTTGTTGGGAAATGAAATTAAGGAGAAAATTCAATTCCATTAGACGAGGTGTGTAAGATTTTGATTGATTATTGAATTTTTGCATAACGAAAGACGAATGTGAGCTGTTACACATTGTGCTGAGATATTGAAAAGCTGCATACCAAAATTTATAAGACGAATTGTTGGAGAACAATTGAAATTGATCTAGAGGGTGTAATTTTAGTTTACAAAAACGACCGATTAGAAAAAAAGAAGGATCATTGTCGTTTTAAATACTTCTTTGGTATGTGAATTATCAAAGGGATAATTGTTTTTTTGTTGCGTATATTCACATTTTCCATACATCTTTTACCCCGTTTTCTTCTTTCTTGTTTTCTTTTTCCAGAAATGATATTTAGTTTTACAAGTCATTTTATCCCTTTGTCTGCTAAGGCTAATTGAAGATCATTTCAAAGAGCATTTAGTAGCCTGAAGAATTCTTGTAATGCCTTGTATATTTTCTAATCCCAGGATGCAAGCTTGAAGAAGAAATAGAATGTTGGGGGTAACAATAGGTCCATCGTGAATACTGTAACATGGGTCATTTGTCTAATATCGGATCCAGATGAAAAAATAATTGGGTATAAATGGGTGGATATGCAGCACTACCCAACAACTTGAGCTTTTGGGTAAATGGGCAAGCGTCCACCCGTTACAGATGCCTACCTTAACTTCGCAAACGAATGAACTGTTCCATTTGATTTTGGGCTTGAAGTTAGCAACATTGTTCCTTTGGAATTACCTATAGAGGGCCATTGGTAGAAAATTTGCTAGTGGATCAAAATCCATAATAATAATAATGGGGCTAAGAAGAATCATTAAGTGTTGTAACCAAAGCGAACAACGTCATAATAAGAAGCGTCGTAATCGAGTGTTGATACAACATTCTAACCAAAGTAAAGAACATCATGCTTGAAGTGTTCTAACCAAAGTGAAATGTAGTTGGAGGCCACAGTGATGGAAGAATTTTAATCAAAGTGACAAGTGTACATAGCTGGGAACATCATGTGAAGTGTACAAGTGTTCCAACCAGAGTGAAGAACATCATGTGAAATGGTCTAATCCGATACAATGTACAACCTGAAGTGTTCTAACCAGAGTAAAGAACATCATTATATGAAGTGGTATAGATCAGAGTGAAGAACATCATGTTCAAGTGTTTTAACCATAGTGAAGAACATCATGTGAAGTGGTCTAAATCAGAGCGAAGAACATCATGTTCTAACCCAGAAATACAAAGTTACAAGTGTCCGGAGCTAGAGACCCCGGCCATTACTGATACAACATGTAAGTGTTGTTTTTAACCGTAGTGAAGTGTAAACCACGTCTGGACAACGCACTGTGATAAATTGCAACCATAGCTTTAGTCCCAAAATACTCCCTCCGTCCCAAAATAATTGGACACTTTATAATCATCTGTACTTTATTTTTACCCTTTACCGGCCCTGAGAAAAACCAGCAGTTTCTATTAGCGCGTGTAATTTTACTTGCTCCGTTTTTTTTTTTCTCCCGTGAATACCTTCCTCATTTTCTTTTCATTCCCTTATTATACTTGCCTTTTTAAGATGAATCAAAATTAACTAATTTAATCCAGCCAAAAACGTACAGTATTTGGAAAAAACCCATCAAATTTCTCAAACACCCAACAATTCTTCAAGCTAATACCATGTATATTGAGCACACCTATAGCAATAAAATTCAATGTCAAACCATGCAAATGCACATTGAATCTGCGTATCCAAAACCATTGAATACTTATCTACTCATGACACATTTTTCCTTAATTCAAATTGAAGAACTGGTCCTACAGTGAATACCTAGACTAACTACTAGGTCACTAGCAAAGGAAACAAAACAAAAACGATGCATTTCAGTTGAGGTAAGATGTCATGAATAAGCCTTCCCGCCATAATCTTGTAAGCCTCGTGTATGTAAGCATTTTCTTTTCTCGTTCTCTCTCTAGTCAACCGTTGCTAACCAACCATGGAAACCTCTTGCCATTGTGTAAGCCTTTTCATACAGTTGGTTGATAAACCAAAAATCTCTGGCTGAGACAAGGTTGGAAAAAAATAGCCAGCAAAGAAGCTGGAAAAGTTATGCATATGGAATTCCATCAGCCTTAACAGCTCTGCAGATTTGAGACTTTATTCCGATTGCTCTTTATTCTGGCTCAACCGCATCTACATGGTCCACATCATTTCCAAACTCCGAGGGGAAGAATCTCTTAATAATATAAAGCATTTTAATTACAAGCCATAGTATTCTTAAAGTCAGCTAGTAATTGTATCCACTCAGTGAACCAAATAAAGCATAAACTTCAACATAGCTGGGGCTGTCATAATAATAGTACAAGAGAATCTTTTAGTTATAAACAATATTAGTACAGGGAATTGAATTTTAACCATTCAACAAAGAAGAAGAAGAAGAAGAAGAAGAAGAAGAAGAAAAAATCTAAAATCTTGCGAAATCTCGGAACGCTTCAGTTTGTTTATAAGCTATTGAACTGGCCACATTTATGGCACCATGTTGAATACTTAGGAAAAGGAGATAGCAGCAAGAATCATCAGTAAAAGTCTGAGCACAAAGTAGAACAACCAACTTTGAGAAAGGAAAGGTTCCTTATCAAACAGTTTAACTTTCTTTACTAGTAGATTGGCAAAAGCTTCTCAGAAGTTCTATTCTTAAAGTTGGTCATCCCCATCAGGCATGAAACTTAACATGCATAGCCATTCTGATGATTCTTAGGGTTGATGAATTGCCTTGAGTAGAACAAGTTTGCCAAGAGTTGTTGGGAACACTAGAAGAATCAGCAACCTGTAATGAAAAAAAGAGTACAAATTGACATTAGTGTCGTATAAAGATCAAAATGCATAAAATATGTCCACCCAAAATCTTAATGAACCTAAATATTAGTAATAAACTGATCAAATGTGATAACAGCTGAAGCTTCAATTGCAAAAAATTAGATTCCCAAAATTGCAGGATATTGTATCATAGGCTAACTACCTTCAAAGATAACCCTTGCAAATTTAAATCAGTAAACCACCTCCGCAAAGATGTCACAAATGCTCAAGCCCTCTACCATAACATGATCAATCTCACCATTCTATACCTAATTATTGAAAAATACACCCATCAGGAGTCTATAAAATAAATGAAATTCAAAACAGGGCTAGGATTGTCAGTTTACACTTAATGCAGGCCAAAATTGTTACTGTCACAAAAAATTGTTCATGTGATTTTTTCAGTAAAGTTACAATAGAAGTAGGCATGATTTGTGGTAAGGTTACAATTGAAGTAGGCATGATTTGTGGCTATATTTTATGAATCCACACAAGCTTTATTCTTGGATGGATTTGTATGATAGCAGTATTCACACATGATGGAAGAACCAATCAATAATTCTTACTAAATATGATATGGCCAAATCATCATTAATTCCGGTACATTAAGACCTAAATCTCAATCAGTCCAATGCACCATAGTAAAATTGTAAAAATTAAATGCATGAATTGCATAGAATTTTAAAATATGCACATTATATAAGTCTTTACTGCCGACAGAAAAGGAAAACTTTTATATCGTGTTAAAATTAAGAAAAGATGACTTTATAATTATCCAGAATAACCCAGGAGCTTCCACAACAATACTTCCAGTTTTTGTTACTGTCCCACATTATCACAGATTCAATGGTTTGGCCCACTGAAACTACTCCACACTACCTGATTTGCCTTCACCTATCATACCAATTTGTTCTTTTCATTCCCTGTTAACACCTAATTCGTATGTGTGTATATATATCGAAAGAGATCGAATGGCCAGAATTCATCTAACATCAATTAAGCCAATGTAACTCAATTGAGATCCAGAATCAGCATTATGGAAACAAAAATAGAAAGCAAATAAATAAATAAATAAGAGCATGATCACTCTTCAGCAGAATTTAAGCACAGATTGGAAACATTTGATAATAGAGATTTTTTTATTGTTCCAACCAACACAATCTGATTACAAGTTGAAATCCATAAATGAAGATCAAATAAAGCAATAATTACCACCGAAAGACCAAGTTATGATAAGTTAGGAGCTGAAAAGTTTCAATGTAATCAGACTAGATGGTGAACTCCAAGCAACTTCAAAGTACCTTAAAATGTTATGTTCTTGAGCATATTTTTTTTGTAGCATCATAGATTCATAGGTGGAAATATGTCTTTATATATCATAGAAATAATATTGCCACAAAATATATATATATATAATAAATAACCAATTAGCAATTGCCATCTTAGTCGCTTCAAAGATATGATAAATATTTGCTAATCTTCTCCTTTAATTTCAAATTTCAAATTTCAACCACATAGTTTAAGAGACGCAGTTTGTGCAAATCTACACCATACATCTTACAACATTGGCAGTCATATTCTCCCTATGCATGCATATAGGAAAATTGATTTAAAGGCAGAAGCTTCAAGATATCAGTAAAAGAGAGGGATGGCTGAGAAATGGAACCTGTGAAACTCAATGTAGCGTGTGAAACAGTGTCTGGTTTGGTTTGTTGTGGGAAAATGAAAATCAGTTGCTCCTCAGTTCAATATGAAAGGCAAAATCAGCAAAAAAGCATAAAAAATGTTGATAATAAAATTAATCAATTAAAATTGTCAAGGAACAAGTTAATAGTATATCTTAGGCAAACATGAAGTATACATTAAAGCACAAAAAAAGAAATTAATACAAAAAAATAATCAATTAAAAAACAAGTTCACTCCCTGTTCAGAGAAAAAGCAAACACAATTTAAACCTAATCTATACAAATAAACGAAGAATAGTCCTAAATCTATTGAAATATACTATAATAGAGAGAGAGAGAGTCCTAATGATTCGAACAGAGGAAATGCACGTGATTGATGAGAATTTCTCGTCAATGGTAAAACTAAAATCAGTCCAAAGACGTCATGATTTCTAGAAGATTTCACAGATTTCTAAATATTAGCAGAGATATGACAGCCACAAATTATGGAATGACTTGCCATATTAGGAGAGATTTGATAGCCACGAATCATGAAGTTTGACTTTATTATTTACACATATGTCTAGCGATAGAATATATTGTAATTTGATTTAATTTCCTTTCTTGTGATATAAGCATGAGCTCTTTTTTATCTATAAGTACTAGAGCTATGAATGAGTGATTTATCTCATTCAAGCTTTTACACATTTGTCATCTCTTTCTTCTATATTGTATTTCTTCCATCTTGTATTTCTTCTTGGTCCGATTGCAATGAAAGCATTGCGAATTCAACACCACTCATTCGGAAATAGTCTAAGGAGACATTGTTGATCATTTGTGGTCTGAGGAGACATTGGTGATTCTTCCATCTAAATATTTTAAACATGTGTAAGAAGGAGAATGGTCTGAAGAGACATTATTTGTAACAACCCTCACCCTAGCCAGACACAATATTGTCCGTTTTTGCCTCCCCCGAACCAGAGACTTACCAGGGAGTCACCCATCCTGGTAGTACTCCAGGTAAAGCACGTTTAACACTGGCGTTCTAGTGAGTTCACGGCCATCACGGCTTTAAAAATGCATTGTGTCATAGAAGGGTGTTAAATCTACATATAGCACTTACCCCTTCCATATCCAGGCGATGTAGGATTGTCACCTGTAGCTCGCCCAATGTGGTAGCCTACTAGTGCCACCTGCACATGCTCACACACACCTGCCCACAAGGTCGCCACAATCTCCCCCCCTTCCCTTTTTGGAGCCCAACGTCCTCATTGGCTACATTTCCGGCTAGGTCAAGCTCTGATACCGTTTGCAACAACCCTTACCCTAACCAGACAAAATATTATCCGCTTTTGGCTCCCCTAAACCAAAGATTTCCCAGGGGGTCACCCATCCTGATACTACTCTAGGTTAAGCACACTTAATTCTGGAATTTTAGTGGGTTCACGGCCATCACGGCTTTAAAATGCGTTGTGTTATAGAAGAGTATTGAATCTACATATAGCACTTGCCCATTCCACACCCAGGCGATGTGGGATTGTGCACCTGTAACTAGCCCAGTGTGGCAGCTTACTGGTGCCACCTGCACACGCTCACACACACCCGCCCACAAGGTCGCCACATTGTTGATTCTTCCATCTACATATTTTATATATGTGTACAAAAGAAAATGGTCTGAGAAGATATTCTTGTTTTTTTATGGTCTGAGGAGACATGGTTGGTTGTTTATGGTCTAAGGAGACACTTTGATTAGTTGATCGACACTTAAATTGTGTTTGAGGATGCATTGTCCAAGTTGGGCGTCTCAAATTTCCACGCACTAACTTGAGGGGGAGTGTTAACAGAGATTTTTTTTTTTTTTATAAGTAAAATAATTTAATTAAATAGTTATTTACTAATACTGACTGATGGAGTGGGGATAAAATAAACAATTTTATTTAAAATAGTTATTTTACTAATACATATTGATGGAGTGGGGATTCGAACCTGGGCTTTGGCCACAAGTAACACATGCCCTACCACTGGGCCATCACACCACATCCGAGTGTTAGCAGAGATATAATAGCCACAAATTATGGAATGACTTGCCATATTAGCAAAAATTTGACAGCCACGAATTATGGCGTTTGACTTTATTTACACATATGTCTAGCCATAGAATATGTTGTGATTTAATTTAATTTCTTTTCTTGTGATATGAGTATGTGCTCTTTTTTATCTATAAATACTAGAAATGTGCTCTTTTTTATCTATAAATACTAGAGTTGTGAGTAATTGATTTATCTCATTCAAACTTTTTACACATATCTCTTCTCTTTCTTCTATCTTGTATTTCTTCTATCTTGTATTTCTTCTCTAAATGATTTCAAAGATTTCCATAGGTAATATATGTATGTGTATATAAATATTAAGAGAGAGGGAGGAGAAACATAATCCAAGGAAATGCATGCAATTGAAGACGAATTTGTTGAAGCTACAACTAAAATTATTCCAAAATACCTAATTGAACCAAGAATGAATAAGTTGTGGTTGATTGAAGTGACAATGAGCTAGAGATCTCCGTTGCGAACTAGAGCGAGAGAGATGTATACCTCTGGTAATTGATCGAATAGAAAGATGTAGTTGATCGAAGAGAGAGGGTGTGGATTCTGTATTAACACAGAAATTGGGAAAAACTGGAATATATTTCATGACTTTCTAATACAAAGCAGCCCGACCTTTATAGGCTGAATACAATCAGATCAGAATCCAGAAAATTAAGGAATATACAACCAAATCCCTAAGATCAGGAAATAAAATAAGTCCACCTAAACTTTAATACACCAGCTATATTAGCCTATAATTAATACAAAATCAGACAATTAATACTTTCCAAATTTATCTAACAATTACATAAATTACATAATTCTCCAACACTCCCCCTCAAGCTGGGGGAATAAATATCTTCCATCCCCAGCTTGCAGACAATTCTTTGAAACGCAGGACTGGCTAACCCTTTGGTTAGTACATCAGCTAGTTGTCCTCTTGTTGAGACATACGGAGTGCAAATTAGTCCATTATCGAGCTTTTCCTTTATGAAGTGGCGATCAACTTCCACATGCTTGGTGCGGTCATGTTGCACTGGATTATGTGCAATATTGATGGCTAACTTGTTATCACAATATAACTTCATCGACCTCTCAACTGAAACACCAAGATCCTTTAGGACTATTTTCAACCATAATAATTCACATATTCCTAAAGCCATGGCACGAAATTCAGCTTCTGCACTTGACCTTGCAACTACTGGCTGCTTTTTGCTCCTCCATGTAACAAGATTCCCACCTAGGAAGGCACAATAACCCGAAGTTGATCTTCTATCTGACACTGAACTTGCATAGTCCGAGTCTGTGTAAACTTCTAAGTTCAAGCACAATCCTCTCTTGAACAATAAGCCTCGACCTGGACTAGATTTTAGATATTGCAGGATTCTGTATACTGCTTGGAGATGTACTTCCTTTAGGTTGTGCATAAATTGGCTCACTACACTAACTGCATAGGCGATGTCAAGCCTGGTGTGAGACAAGTAGATTAATCTTCCAACAAGTCTTTGATACATTCCTTTGTCAACTGGCTCATCATCAACAGCTTCTCCAAGCTTATGATTCGGTTCAATGGGAGTCTTCACGGGCTTACAGCCTACCTTTCCTGTTTCTTTCAGTAAATCAATCACATACTTTTGTTGTGAGACGAAAATTCCTTCTTTGGAGCGAGCAACTTCAATTCCCAGGAAGTATTTCAGCTTGCCTAGGTCTTTTATTTCAAATTTCGTGGCCAGCTTAGCTTTAAGAGTTTCCCTTTCAGCTTGATCATTGCCAGTGACAATAATATCATCTACGTATACAATGAGGACTGTAACTGCCCCTGAAGAAGAGTGTTTTATGAACAGAGTATGATCACCTTGACTTTGTTTGTAACCCATTGCTGACATTGCTCTTGCAAACCTGCCAAACCAAGCCCTGGGGGATTGCTTCAGTCCGTACAGTGCCTTCCTTAGTCTGCATACCCTATTCTTCTCCGGAAAACTGAATCCTGGAGGAGCTTCCATATATATTTCTTCTTCAAGATCTCCATGCAGAAATGCATTTTTTACATCAAACTACTGCAAAGTCCAATCAAAGTTAGCAGCCAGAGACAATAAAATTCTTACTGTGTTCATTTTTGCCACTGGGGCAAAAGTTTCTTGATAATCAACACCAAAGGTCTGGGTATATCCTTTTGCTACTAGCCTCGCCTTGTACCTCTCAAGAGATCCATCTGCATTGAATTTTACTGAAAACACCCATTTGCATCCCACAGTTTTTTTTCCCTTTGGTAATTCGACCATCTCCCAAGTCTTGTTCTTTTCCAGTGCGTCCATCTCAACTTTCATGGCCTGCTTCCATACCCTGCTGTTTAATGCCTCAGACAATGTTTTAGGAACGACTATTGAGTTTAGATGAGTAAAGAAGGCTCTATGTGAGGGAGATAATTTTTCAAAGGAAACAAAATGAGAGAGTGGATGTTGTGTACACCTTCGGGTACCTTTTCGAACTGCAATGGGTAGTTCTAAATCAGTCTCATCAAACACAAGAGTGGAATTGTTTACTTGAGTAGTGTTTTTCTCCTGAGTGGTTTCTTTCCCAAGCATAGGTTCTGACTTTTGGGCTTGCTTCGGATTAGTCTTGCCTCCCTTCCTTCTCGAAAAAACTTGAAGTGGTTTAGTAACTCCTGGATTGATTGATGGAGTTGGATTTTTAGGAGGAGATTGTGGTTGAGATTCAAGAGATGTCACACTTGGATTTTGAAGCGGAGGAATATCAGAACTGGGATCGGAAGTAGGTAGTGAAACTTGGGAATGAATGTGATATGGACTTGGAGAAGCCGCGGTAAGAGGGGAACCAAAGGAAACCGAGGCAGGAGCAGTTACAGAACTTGGACTCAAAGATGGTGGTGACAATTTGCGCATAAGATCGAAATCGAGAACATCTACATCATCATCCTTTTCATCACTTGTTACCTCCCCCTGAGGAGAAGGATGATGAAAGAAACTCTCATGTTCAACAAATGTGACATCAATTGAAATGTAGGTTTTCCGAGTAGGCGGATGGTAACATTTGTAACCTTTTTGAGTTGAAGAGTAACCTATAAAAATACATTTAAGTGCTCGGGGATCAAGTTTGCTTCGATTGTGAGCATGAACATGAGTAAAGACAACACACCCAAATACCCGAGGAGACAACCTGTTTGGAGTAAGGAAGTTTGGAAAATGATGTGAAAGTGTTTCCCAAGGACTTCTAAAATCTAAGACTTTGGTAGGTAATTGGTTGATGAGATGAGTGGCTGCGAGAACGGCTTCCCCCCAAAAATATTTTGGAACTTGTCTTTGAAAAAGAAGAGCATAGGTAGTTTCAAGAAGATGTCCATTCTTTCTTTCGGCCACCCCATTTTGTTAGGGTGTGTCAATGCATGAGGACTCATGAACTATTCCCTCCTGATACAAATATGGTGAAAGAATTTGGTTAAAATATTCTCTCCCGTTGTCTGTCCACACCCTTTTATTTTCACCCCAAACTGTGTTTTTATCATGTTATGAAATATTGGAAAGATATTGGCTACATCAGATTTTTGCTTCATGAGAAAAGTCCAAGTTACCCGCGTACAATCATTTATAAAAATGACAAACCAACGTGCCCCAGAATAAGTAGCAACCCGTGAAGGACCCCAAACATCACTGTGCATCAAATAAAAAGGAACTGATGATTTATTATTGCTCTAAGGAAAGAAAACACGTTTGTGTTTGGCAATTTCACAAATATCACAATGAAGTTGTTTCTAATCAACATTTTTAAACAAAGAAGGAAACATAAGACTGAGAGTTCTAAAGGAAGGATGACCAAGCTGAAAATGATGAAGGAGAATTTTGTCTTTATTTGTGGAGGAATCAGATAGAAGCACAGATGAACAACCAATTCCAGTACTCACTTTTCCACTCATGGGCTCAAGACAGTAGAGACCATCCTTTTCTTTAGCATGCCCAATCGTCTTCCCCGAAGCTCGGTTCATATCCTTGGTGATTTGTTTGACAGATAAAAGATTGGTTGTCAATTTGGGCACATGTAAAACATTTTTAAGACACAAGGAAGGTCCGAAGGATATGTCCCCATGTCCTGCAACAGTGACTAAATTCCCATCAGCTATGGTGATCTTTTTATTACTAGGGCATGGTTTATAAGAAGAAAAAGATTGGGATGAGTTGGTCATATGGTCGGTTGCCCCTGAGTCGACAATCCAAGAGTGTGGGTGGATTAAAACATTATCTGAGACACTAAGAGCATGAAAACCAGAATACATACCAGAAAGTGCTAATGAACAGGCACCTGTAGGTTCTTCGAGTGAATCAAGAAGGGATCGGAAGCGATCAATGTCTTCCTTACAAAATTCTCTGCTGCTGGAATTCGGTTGATCACTGGTATTATTAGTGCTATTTTGTGCAACGTGGGCTTTTCCTTTTTGCTGCCAGCTTCTTCCCCCGGAATTCCGATTTGACTGATTCATGTTTTGTGGCCTTCCATGTAGCTTATAGCAGGTGTCCTTCGTATGACCAGTTTTCTTGCAATAGTTACATACCAGATTCTCTTTGAATGTCCTCTTCGGGTCAGATTTCTTATAATCAGTATTAGCTGAAGATTTCTTCTCCAAAGTTTGCTCACTAGTAATGGTTGTAAGGAGTGCCGATCCTTCCAATGGCTGCGAATCCAACATAACTCCTCTACTGCTCTCTTTAGCACGAATAGTTGCAATTGCTTCATTTAGGGAGGATAATCCTTTCCCCAAAGTCTGAACTCTTACAATATCGAATTCCGGATTAAGGCCTGCTAAGAAATCATAGATTCGGTCTTTTTCTATGAAAGCCTTCAACAACGCAGCATCCTCGCTGTTCTTCATCTCGAGAACCTGGTAATAGTCCAACTCGTACCACAAATTTTTGAAAGTGTTGGCATACTCTGTTACAGTCTTGTTCCCTTGTTTTGTAGCAGCTAGCTTCACCTTGATCTCGTACACCTGGGCTGCATCATTTTTCTTCGAATAAGTTTGTCTGATCGCCTCTCATATCTCTTGAGCAGTTGTCAAAAACATTACAGTATCACTTATCTCGGGTACCATAGCATTCCATAGCCATGACATGACCATTGAGTCTTCTTCGTCCCAAGCAGCAAACTTTGGATCTTCATTCTTAGGCCCTTTTCCAAGAAGATGGTTGAGCTTGCCCTTCCCTTTCAGAAAGGTTTGAACAAGTTGAGACCACTTTAAATAGTTTGTTCCATTCAGCCTATACGCAGCTTGAATGTTCTGTAGATCTCCAGGAACCTGTTGTTGGATTGTAGGCTCCTCCGATTGAGAGCTGGTCTGTGTAACCTCTGACATCTCGTTTTTTTCTTCTGTAAAAAACTGAACTCCAAGCTGCTATGAAATCTGTAAATGATGAAATATTATATCCCAGAAAGAACACCTAGGGCTCTAATACCATAACACAGAAATTGGGAAAAACTGAAGTATATTTCATGACTTTCTAATAAAAAGCAGCCCGACCTTTATAGGCTGATTACAATCAGATCAGAATCCAGTAAATTAAGGAATATACAACCAAATCCCTAAGATCAGAAAATAAAATAAGTCAACCTAAACTTTAATACACCAGCTATATTAGCCTATAATTAGTACAAAATCAAACAATTAATACTTTCCAAATATATCTAACAATTACATAAATCACGTAATTCTCCAACATGTATACCTCTTGTTTAACTTTTTATAGGCACTAAAATACCACGAAAAGAGAAAAAGTGTGCTAAAAAATTAGACATTTCCGGCGTTGCAAACTGCCGGACAAATTATAAAAATTATTTTGGTGAGTGCGGCTAGTTATTTCGGGCACTTTTAAAATAATAATTAATAAAAATAAAAATTGCCAGTTTTGGTAAGCAATACCGGCGATTTTAGAAAACCACCAATAATTCTAAAGGTCACTTGCCTAGGATTCATGTCCCAATTAATGCATTGTAGCCACCACACTGTCACGGGCTTAGAGTTTTAGCACCACTCTAGCTAGTCCTGTACAGCACCAAGACGTTGTTTCTACTCGCGCAAGTACTTAGTCAACCTAACTCCCGTGCCCACCTTAGCCAACGCACTCCCCCCGTGCGCTTACTAGTGTTGTAGTGGCCCTCCCCCTCTCCTCTCTTGGCTTGCATACTCACACACACTAAAGCACTTAAGTTGGCAAAGAAAGAACACTTCTATTACTTCAAAGAATGCTTTGTAGAAGGCTAGTTACAAACTCTCTACAAGGCTCTCAAGACTCACTCTAGAACTTGATGGTTACAAAATGAAATCCTACTCCTATTTATAGGCATCCCCATCCCTAATGGACGGCTAAGATGCATTCTAACCGACAGTGGAGATCGATTCTCCAGAATCTTCTCCCACCTTCTTCACACTTCCTTATATATCTACAAGTATCTACAACATTCTAGAACTCTCCATGCTATTCCACACAACTCTGGAGAACTCTAGAACCTTCCAAACACTTCTATAATATTCTACACATTTCTACACATATCTAGAATCTTCCACACATCTCCGAACAATTCCAGAAGATTCTAGAAACTCCTCTCGCCATGCAGCGTCCTACTCAGCGCATGCGTGTCGCATGCGTGACGTAACCTCCATAGGCAGGGCGTGACAACATGCCCAAAATCCCAAGACTTTGTTGCTAAAGCTTGTCTAATCATGGCGCCCCATCTCATTTCGTTTCAAACTATTTAAGAAGGTTTGTAAATTGTCAAGTTATAGCATGCTTAGGTTACATATAAATAACATTGTTGTGCAATTCAAGTTCCAAACCCAAATTTACCAGCAAACATAACCCTTCATGTTGGTAAAAGCATAACCGTTCATGTTCGGGAAGCGAAAGCACAGGAACATGGAGATCCAACAGAAGACAAATAAAGTAATTACACACAAAACATAAGATTTAATTGGTTCGGCCAAACCCAGGTTACATCCACAGATGACAAGAGATTACATTCAGATTATGTAGAGATTACAATAGTAGAAAATTCCCAAAACGAGACCGTGTACACAAACTTTTACCCCAAAGTTCTTCTTTGTGTACCCCACGAGACTCCCTCTCCCCGGTGTAAACTCTACTCTATGAACCTGTAAACTACCTCTACCCATCAACACCCTCATGAGGCTACCACCTTCCCCTATCCAATTAAATTAGGGCTGTCAACCTCCACTACTACATGTCTCTCTTTCTTCAAAGTCTCAACCCATAACCTATGTTAGAATGTTATATATATATATATATATATATATATATATATATGTTGAGCCATTATGTAATCGCATTATGTTAATAGGGCCCTTGTGTTATTAAGGTGACTTGTATCCCTTATATAAGCCTATATAGGCTTATTAGGTTCGTAAGTGTGTACGAGTGAAATATAGTACAAGTTCTCTCTCTCCTTCTCCCTGTCTCTCATGATAGGCAACATGGTATCAGAGCTCTACGAATTCATGGGTGTGAGGGTCTGTAATTGTGTGGTTTAAGATCGGAATCACGATTGTGGTGTTGGTGTTTCGTTCGTCGCCGACAGCTCCTCGTTCACTATCATCAGATCTGCATCGTCATTCGTCGTCGTCAGATCTGCATCGTTCGTCATCGTCGTTGCCGGCAGCTTCTTTTTTGGTTGTCAGCGAGCTCGTCATCAGATCTGCCGTCTTGATTTACAAAGGAGAGGTTCGTCGAATTGTTTTTTTTGCAGAGGTAGCTGTCTCTTGATTCGGCCGTTGCTTATGACTGGGTCGCCATTGTCTCCGCTGCTTTGTTCATCAGCGCTTGTGAAGGTGTGAAGAAGAAGACCCTTGTTTGGCTACACGGTTATGCTATTCCAATCCTGGTTTACTAAACCTGGAATAGCTATTCCCTGGATAGCCCAGATCCGGCCCAATAGCCCAGATCAAGACAGTTTGACCAAATCCGGCCCATTTGACCAGATCCAGCCCGATCAAGCCCGTTTGCCCAGATCCGGCCCGTTTGCCAGGTTCGACCAGAATACCAATTCTGCTTCTTTTTCTTCTCTGTTTTGCTAGGTACAACATGGCATCCAGTTCAGATTTGTTTTCTCCCATATCTGGTCTTCATTCTCCCATGACTTCTGTTAAACACAATGGGAAGAATTACATACTGTGGGCTAAATCTGTTAAAATTTTTCTCAAAGGTAGAGGCCTTGGTACTCATCTGACTAAAGAGAAACTCAAGGAAAATGATGTTTCTTTTGATGTATGGGAAAAGGAAGATGCTCAGATCATCTCTGTGATGATAAATAGTATTGACCCCCCAAATCAGTACAACTTTACTTTATTTGGATACTGCCAAGGAGATATGGGACAGATTGCTGCAACTGTATTCTGGGACAGGTAATATCACTCGTGTTTATGAGCTTTGTAAGCAGTATTTCAATCTTGAACAAGGTAATCACAGTATAGAAGAGTATTATTCCAAAGTTATGGGAGTTTGTGAGGAGCTGAATATGTATCAGCCCATTACTGCTGATGTTCGAAGTATGCAACAACAACGTGAGGACTTTAATGTTGTCTGTTTTCTTACTGGTTTGTCATCAGCTTATGAGTCTTTTTGTTCACAGATTATGGGCAGTCCCACAGTTCCATCTCTTGCTGATGTATTTTCTAGACTTCAGCGCGCTACACTTGTCAGTGATACCTCAACTTTGAATACTGGGCAGAGTGGTGAGCGTTCAGCATTAATCGTTTCAAAGGGTGAAAATACTGCTTTCCGTGGAGGTCGTGGGGGACGCTCCACACGTGGCGATCGTGATTCACGAGGACGTGGCCGTGGCAGGGAATCACGAAAATGTACTCATTGTGGCCTTTCTAATCATACTGTGAATTTTTGTTGGGACCTTCATGGCAAACCATCTAGTTATGCAAATCAAGTTTCCTCCTCTCCGAATGATGTTGCTTCTGGATCTCATAATGTAGCTGAATCAGATACGGTCCCTGTCCCACGTGACGAGTACTCATTTTTTGTCTTATAAGCAAGCATCTAATTCATCTTCCACAGCTACCTTTGCCCAGTCAGGTCCTGCACACACATGTCTATTGTCTTCCACTCGCAGTCCTTGGATCATAGACACTAGAGCATCCGATCATATGACTGGATGTTCTTCTCTTCTATCTGATTTTAATTCTGTACCTCCTTCTCAAAGAGTTACCCTTGCTAACGGTTCCTCCACTAAGGTTTCAGGTTTGGGGACAACTCAACTTAGTGATTCCTTGTCTCTCTCGTCTGTTTTATATGTTCCTCAGTTTCCCTTTAATTTAATGTCTGTTAGTAAGCTTACTAAATCTCTTCAGTGCTCTGTTACATTTTATCCTACTTTTTGTGTGTTTCAGGATCTCAAGACGAAGAAGACGATTGGTACGGGGTATGAATCTGGTGGCTTATAATACTTTGATGTGTCACCTTATCCTGTGGCTCTTCAGTCTTCTCTGTCTCCATTCTAGTGGCACTGTCGTCTTGGTCACCCGTCACTTCAAGTTTTACAGCGTCAAGTTCCTAGTCTTAGTAATTTGAAATTCTTGTCATGTGAAGTTTGTCAACTTAGTAAGTACCATCGTGTGTCTTTCAAGTCTAGGGTTAATAATCGTGTCTCTAGTCCTTTTCATCTGGTTCATTCAGATGTATGGGTCCAATCAAGCATTCTTCAATCAATAAATTTCATTATTTTGTAACATTTGTGGATGATTATTCTCGCCTGACTTGGTTGTTTCTGATGAAAGATCGTTCTGAGTTATTTTTAATTTTTTTAAAATTTCGAAAAGAAATCAAAACTCAGTTTGGCTGTCCAATTCGTATTTTACGTTATGATAATGCTAAGGAATATTCTTCAACCCCCTTTGATACATATCTTAGTGATAAAGGAATCATTCATCAAAATTCATGTGTTTATACTCCTTAACAAAATGGAGTTGCAGAACGTAAGAATCGACACCTCTTAGAAGTAACCCGTGCTCTTTTGTTTCATATGCGCATGCCTAAACGGTTTTGGGGTGATGCTATTCTTACTGCCTGTCATCTAATTAACCGTATGTCGTCATCTGTATTAGATGGCAAATCTCCACATTTTATTTTATTTCCTGATTCTCCTTTGTTTTCTCTTACTCCTAGAGTTTTTGGATGTGTATGCTATGTCCACAATCTTGGTCCTGGTTTTGATAAACTTGATCCACGTGCCACAAAGTGTGTATTTCTTGGATACTCTCGTTCTCATAAAGGTTATCGCTGCTATAGTCCTATTTCTCAACGGTACTTTATTAGCGCAGATGTGACCTTTTGTGAGTCCGTCCCATATTTTTCAAAGAGTTATTCAATTCTTGATATTACT